CAAAGAATCACAAGCAGACCTGATCGGGATGCTGTCGAACCCACTCACGAACAGCCTTGAAAAGATCAATTTCCGGGGCGCATAACGAATCACGCTGCACCATTTGTTCGACGGCAGCAGCAGAAAGTTGCAGAAACCCCTTAAAATGAAAAAGTGTGTTCGGAGCTCAAGTAATCACTGAATTTGCAGCCTCATTTATCTAAGCAAGATGAGTCACAGCGTCCGCTGCAACAAAAGCAAGTGTGGCATCTGACGGGACTTTCTGGTCAAGTTCGCTCGAGCGGCTTATGAGAATGGAGCAGCAACAAAGAAATGTCATTAAGGATTGCTGCAAAAAATTGGAAGCAAATAAATAATCAACACCCAGAAAACTTAAGTATTATATATGAAGTCAGTGTAACAATGCTCGCCTGTAATTCAACTGTGCAATTCTTTTAAAAATTCTAGGAACGAAATAGTATGCTGTACGCTATTTTATGTAGAAATAAATAAAAGTATTTTTCCGTTTCTAATGAACTTTCAGAAAATATTTTATATGAGCATTGCCTGCGTTGAAATTATCTCAGGAGCGTGCTTATCAGCAAAATCCAAGCAGACTTCAGAAAGCGAACGCAACGAATAGAGATGTGCTGCACCATACACCAGGCACATATTTCGCACATTCAATACCGCCTAAAATACAGGGATAAACAAATTTACTGAACTGCGGAGAGTATTTATAGCCTCATGCACCTAATATGCTCAAACAGTTAAGTATCAGCTGTACCTCTGATGGGATATCAGCTATACCTTAGTTCACCCAAAAGCGAAAACTGCATCAGCAAAGAGAAGAGTGAATGCAAATTTCAGCGTTACTTTTAGTTCACGGAATGCAAACATTTTAAATTTTTCCCTTTCCTTCTTGAAACAAATATCTAAGCTTAACCCCTCATTCCCCAAGTGGTTAAATAACAACGAACTGCATCTAGAAAAGAAATATGCAAGGCTAAAAAAGCGCAAGCAGTAGAAAATAAAATCTAAGCGTCACGGAAATTAAACCAAAATGGATTCACGAGTTCGACAAAAACTGCAGAACCTTCAGATACTCCGAGATGCTTTGCTCCAAATCGGTGAAGCCATACTTGTGCGCCAAGCCAAGTAATTCAAGTACTAATTCGTCTTTCATTGAACTGAGCGACAATCTGCCAGTGTAGATGTACCTGCAAAACCAAAACCGTTATTCAACTGCGAAATCAAACAAAGATCATAATGTGACTGCACGGAAATGCAAAATAAATAATAGCAGCTTTTGACAAACAACGCTCACACATTAAGCTTGGCCATTACAAACCATCCTCAAAGACAGAAAGCTGTGAGATGGCTGGAAGTGAAAGTCGCTGGGAATTAGTATGCCCGTTATTTAGTGTATCACAAAAAAGTGTAAGTGCAGCCACTCCAGCGATTACTTGACACGAGACAGCAGTGACTTCTGAGGAACGAAATCAAAATAAGTAGCGGCGCGCACCAGCGCAGCCGCTGCGATCATGCGTTTTTTGCAATTCTGTTCACCGAACGATTGCCTGCTAATGATTTTCGCCGCTTTGCTCTTTGGTTTGTGCAAAAATAGTTGAAATGTTGTCGGTTTCTTGCTGCTGAATTTCCCACTAAAAATTGCACGCACCGGTACATGAAAGCTGAATTTGAAACCTCGAAGGGTGGATATCCTTTCATAATTTCAGTCTCCAAATTTTCTGGCTTTCGAGTGATTTTTGTGACAAAACTTTTACTTCTTCATACATGAGAGCTCGGCTTATATGGGAACTGAATTCGAGTTTTTGAAGCCCCCTGTTTGGGCAAAAAACATCCTTCTCAAACATTTCAGCATCTAGCTCTTCTGACTCCAGAGATAGCCACTTTTCCCACCAAAACTTCCATGGGGACGCTGAAAATTTGTTGAGTCGTATGTGGACAGGGAATGCCACGCTAAAATTTCAGCTTTCCAGCTTTTGCAATCCACGAGCTTTTGCAACTCCGAAACATTCACGGGCCGTAGGTGGTGCTCAGGGGTATGTAAAGGCTGAGCCCAAATTTGCGCGGTCATACGTTGGCAGAGGACATCACCCTAAAATTTCATATTCCCAACTTCCGC